CACACACACATACGTATATATAAAGAGATTTATTGTAAGGAATTGGCTAATATGGTTTTGGAGGCCGAGAATTCCCATAGTCCCAGTTGGTGAGCTGGAGACCCAGGAGAGCTGTGGGTGTCAGCTTCAGCCTGAGTCCAAGTCCAAAGGCAGGAGAAGACGCATGTTCCAGCTCCATCAGTCAGGCAGAAAGAGCAGATTTTTCCCTTACTTTGCCTTTTTGTTCTGTTGAGGCCTCTAACAGATGGGGTGAGGCCCAGCTACCTGGGGGAGGGCCATCTCCTTTACTCAGTCTACTGATTTAAGGATTAATCTCTCTTTTTAAAAATCTATTTTTATATACAGTGGCTAACATTTGTAAACCTCTGCAATGAATATATGTATGTATATGCATGACTGGGACATAGTGCTGCACACCAGAGATTGACACATTGTAACTGACTGTACTTCAATTAAAAAAAAAGAGACTAATCTCATCCCGAAACCCTCACAGACACACCTAGAATAATGTTTAACCAGATATCTGGGCCAGTCAGGTTGTGTGTGCCAGTCAGGTTGACCCCAAATTAACCATTTCTCAGGGGCATCATCTCAAGCCAAGATGAGCGGGGCTTTTTTTTTTTGGTTTATCACTCCGCCAAGAAGTGAACCAGTTCCTCGATCTGGAAAACAGGAACCCACCCATCTTGTTTCTAACCTCCAGACACCTTGTCCTTGATGTGACCACAGAGTCAGCCTCCCTGGTGCCCAGGAAATAGACTCTTTTTCAGCTCTGGTGCATTTCATTCAAATAGCCCCCTCTTCCTGATACAGTCAGCTGCTTGCTGACCCCGCTTAGCGCAGGGGCCCCCAGTGGTCTGCTGTCACACACGGGATCCTTCAGCCCCGTGGTGTGTGGTGCCAGCCAGCTCCTCTCTGAAGCTCACCCTCTGCTAGGTCCTTCCTGACCCTCCTTCGAAACCCTGCAGTGTGTTTTACCTTCAGCCTAATAAATACATCATAGCCTTCCTTTGCCCTGTATCCTGCTTCATGGAACCCTTTGCAAATAATTCCCAATGGCATTTATTGAGAACATGCCTGGTGCTAAGTCCAGTGCTTTCCATACCTTATTTCATATTTACAAAAATACTATTCAGTATGTATCAAAATGGGGTTGGTTAATTAACCTACATGGCTAATAAAGGCAAAGCTAGGATTTAAATTTGAATGAACTTATTTACAAAACAGAGACAGACTCACAGACATAGAAAACAAACTTATGGTTGCCAGAGGGAAAGTGGGTAGGAGAGATAAATTGGGAGTTTGGGATTTGAGATACAAACTACTATGTATAAAATAGATAAACAACAAGGTCCTACTGTGTAGCACAGAGATCTATATTCAGATCTATAATGGCCTATAATGAAAAAGAATATGAAAAGGAATATATATATCTATTGTGTAAATGAATCACTATGCTGTACTCTAAAATTAACACAATATGGTAAATTGACTATACTTCAATTTGAAAAAAGAATTTAACACTACTTTTGACCAGAAATCCCTGATTCTTAGTCATGAAACTATACCACCTTACAGTAAATACAGAACAATTGTTCACATGATAAGCAGTCATGTAAATAATATTTCTCAGTGAGTGAAATTGCTTTTGAAAATATATGTCTATTTTTATTCATTGCCCTCCATATAGGGACCCATGTTTGTCTTTGCTGATGAACTTGTACATTTCCCTTCCTCAGCCAAAGAGAGAATCTTAAAGCTTGGGTTTCCCCAGGTGGCGGAGTGAAATTTAGTCCTTAATTGCAGCAGCTGTTTTTAGCTAACTTGGGATAATGTTCTTCCTTTTCTTGAACATGACTTTATTTATCTACATGGGTGGTTCAACTGCGCATGTTTTCTTTCCCACTAGAGTTTCAGCATCTTGGGTGAATAAACTGAATGTGTACCTAATTTTGTAAGCTGCTTTTTCCAGAAGCAAATTATGTTGACGTATCAAGTGGGACTCGGTTGTGACCAGTTTTCTCTGCAAAGTACTCAAATGTTTTTCTTTGGTGGCAGAACAAGGGCGGGAGTGGCTTGGACATATGTGTTTGAGTATAACCTTGTAACTGCGGCTGTGAAAATGTGTGTGGTGGGTCCAGAGCTTCAGACAACCGAGTAAAAGGTGATCACAAGAAGATACTTACAAGATGCTGAGAAACTAGAGGGGTGACTGGTGGCATGGGAAGAAATGCTTTCACGCCTAGACTGACCTGAGTGGGGCCTCCCTCCAGGTGGCACAAGTAGAGATCAGTGTGGGTGTTTTCCTATGTTTACGAAGGATTGAAACAATGATTAAAATAACAGCTGGTGAGACTGAGACCGGGTCCTGGGGCCAGTGCTGAGGGGGAAGCTGAAACCGCACAGGAAGTGTCAGCCAATGTTTATTTCTCATCCCCCGGGCCATGGGAATCAGTCTGGGGAGCAATGACCATGGTAGCACATGGCGCCCTGAATCAGGACTGGCTTTAGGACAGGGAGAGTGGTCCCAGCTCATGAGACTAATTCTTGCCTTTAAACCTGTTTGGTCTGAAAATTAACTTGTAGAAAAGAGGAGATGGTAGTTGAAGTCTTCTTTCGAAGAATGACTCTTGCATTCTATTTATGTGTAAGGAGAGATTTGACCGGGAGGGGCAAAGTTGGACTTACAATTAGCTGAAGATGGACCCCTGACAATTGGCAAACGCGTGCGTCCTTTGCAACTACAGCCTGTCACCTGCAATCGGCCGGTGGATGTATGCACGTTTCGTTGGCTGTGGAAAGAGTTCAGAGCAGGTTGGAGGCTGGCGGCTGGCTCTCGCCTCTGCCACGTGTCCGTTTTACTGTTTTGGAGCCCAGAACATTTGTGAGAGTTGTCCCAGTTGTTATGATGAGAGAAAAGTACCTTTGATAGAAATAGAGAAATCAGGAAGTGTGGCCTATTTTTCAGGAAGATAATTAATTCGTTTTTAGACATCATGAGTTTGAAATGAGAGTTTGACATCCGGGTGGAAATGTCTGATGCTGAGCTGAGGCTCTTAGTCTAAAGAGCACTTAGGAGGCTTGTGTTTGAGAACGGATTCTTTCAGATTCTTTCACTAACCAGCTTCCTGCTCTTGGTCAAACCCTGTAAGTCTTAGGAGTCTCATGGGTTGATCTCTACTCATCGACTCTCAGCCCAACAGGGGTGTGCTGGGGTGTGCTCTAGACAGGAGGAAGGGAGAGGAGGGGGCATCCTGCCATGCCTGGCACTCAGTGGTGTCTCAGGGAAAGAAGACAGGGCCCCCTGTCCCCTGGCGCCTGCCAGTTCTAACATCCATCGTGGCGGACAGTTGCTGTCATGAGTGTGGTTTGAGGGACGGCGAGGTTCGGATGCCTCGAAACCCTGAACAGTCATCCCCGGAGACTGGCCTTCTGTCAGCTGTCTCTTCCTGTAATTTACACCTTGTTACTCAGCAGTGCCCAGAGGGGCTGCTCCCACCCCAGCTTAACGCACAGATGCCAACCTGAGGCCCCAAAGGGACTGTACAGGTGACTCACGTGGAGAATGACAGGTGTGTGGGGGGAGAGCATGGGGGCCACTTCTCTCCCACAGAGCCCCTGGCAGGGAAAACCCCAGCCTCTGCTTGAATGCCCCCCAGTGACGGGGAGATTACCCCTTCCGGGCTGCCCAGTTCACCTTCCTGGTGCTCTGTTAGACAGGTGTTTTCTACCCGCACCCTAGAATTGACTCCTCATACTTCCTGCCGGTTCCCTAATTCTGCTCAGAGGCTTATCAGTCCTCTGAGCCCCCTTTGCAGATGGGGAAGCAAAAGCGGACATGCCCCATGGCTCACTCACTGTGACAGAGCCTTGCTCTCCGCTATAGGGAGATGCCACCTTTCTAACTCGGCCTCTTTTAACCACCTCTCCTCCCTCCCTCTGACCTTGCACTGGTGGGAACTTCAGAGCCCCAGGGGTGGCGCTCTGGGTGGAGGCGCTTGGAGGGTTTGTTAGTCTGCCCTTAAGGGGATGCTTTAATGTCCTGTGAGGGTACCGGAGGTGGCTTCATTCTGGACCACCTTGAGATGCTGCTCTACCTTGACAGCAGGGCAGGAGTGATGGGTGTCTCAGAGGGCTGTGCCCACCAGCCACCCGTGCAAGCTGGCACAGGGGCTGCGTCTCAGAGGTGCAGACCATTGTCCGTGTTTACACAGAGCCTGGCATTTCCGACCTGCTTTGAGCAAAGTTTAAGTGGAACACCTGCTTTACCTGGGAAGAGTGAAACACTTGGATTTCCACACGGTCATGGCTAAGACATCCAGTCCCCGGGTAGCTTAACGTTTCTGGGGTGCACGATCCTTTCTTAGGAGAATTGATAAAGAGTTTATCAGGCCAGGGAAAGGAGCAAGGAATATTCCTGTTTGTGTGGAGAGACAGTGGGATGATGTTGTGGTACCCCACAGCCTGCAAGGACGATGTGGCTCCACTTCATCATGAAAGGAGGAAAATGACGTCAGACGCCCAGTGAGGGAAGGGATAGAGCTTGAGATCATTTGGGAATCCTTCCAGCCATGGGGACCCTGAAATTCTCCCACTGACCCTCTAGAAATGTTACTGTTATTTCAAAAATAACGCTGGCCGCCTGAACACCAGGGTGGTCCTTCAAGGAAGGAAAGGAGGAATGAATGGTGATGTCTTTCTCTCCCCCGCCCCCCGTCTATCGTGAGCAGGGAGAAGATGCCTTTCCACCACGTGACCGCCGGCCTGTTGTACAAGGGGAATTACCTCAACCGGTCCCTGTCCGCTGGCAGCGACAGCGAGCAGCTTGCTAACATCTCCGTGGAGGAGCTGGACGGTAAGAAGCCTGCCCCGGGTCGGGGGCGAGCCACCAGGGGAGGCATCTGTGGCTATTGTGCCTCCAGAGTGAAAGCGCCAGGCTCTGGCCGGCGGCTGTGGCCAAGTCCAACCGTGATGAGGCAGGCAAGAGTTCAGAGATCACTTCTGCCTAACTGACCTCTTTGTGTGGGATGGACCTGATAGTCTGAAAACTCTATGGGGAATATATTTCAGTTCCTTTGGATACTGACTGGGGAGGTAGCCTTCCAGTCCCCAGATGTATTTTCCAGTTTATGGAATCTTTATCGCCAGGCTGGCCCTGTTCTCAGATTGTCATTCACGATGGAGCTCAGCTGCGGGGGAGGCTGAAGCCGTGCTAATGCTGTCTCTTGACTTGTGGCCATGGTGCTCTGAATCCTGCCCAGATCCGAATCATCTGGAAGCTGTGTCTAGGTGGGAATGGCCAGCAATTATTTTGATGGACTCTGTGCCTTCGTAACACAGTGTAGCCCTGGGTTAGGGATAGGAACAATCCTGGGGACAGGACTGCTGAATTCATCCTGGGACAGTGCCCCTTTGTATCTGGGGGAAGTCAGGCCCTTGATTCAAAAACAGTAAAACAAGGAAGAAGTTGTTTTTTTTTTATATTTTATAAGAAAAGAAAATTAGGTAGATTCAGCCAGATGTTTGCCTAGGTACTGCATCTGCTGAGGCCAAGCCAGATCGGTTTTCCTTCTTGTTTTGGAATGCTGTGTTCCTGATAACACTGTTTCAAAACAAGAAGTTTAATTTTACTTTCTAAAATAGGGAAGTTAAAATTACCCCAGGTGGCCCACATCTCTGCTTTGAAGTGTAATGGTCCGATCCAGTGTGCTTTTCTCCGTGCACACGTCTTACAAGGCAAGGTGGGGAGATTCCGCTCTGGGCCAGGGAAGACAGACTTGCTTCATGGTCGGCGGGAGCTGAGGCAGGCGAAGCACGGGCCCGAGCCGTCCGCTTGCCTCTCTGCGGGGGGGGACCACGTTTCATTCTTCCTCCCTTTCCCGCACTTCGCAGATACTGCAGTTGGTACAAATTGAAGGTTTGCGGCAACACTGCATTGTCAGGTGATGGTTAGCACCTTCTAGCAATAAAATACTTTTAAATGAAGGCATGTACCTTGTTTGTTTAGATATAATTTTGTTGCACACTTGATAGGCCACAAGGTAGTGTAAACATAACTTTTCTACACCCCGGGAAACTAAAACATTCTTTGGGATTCACTTTGTTGCGATACCCGCTTTATGGCAGTGCTCTGGAGCCGAACCCGCGGCATCCCCGACATCTACCCATAGAGGCTTGCTTAGCTACGGGATGCTGCAGTGAGGCCCGGAGGCTGGTGGGCTGGGCCAGAGGAGAGGCTGGAGGATGTGAGAGGAAGGGGCGTGGTGTGGGCGGAGCCAGGTTCCTTAGGCTCAGGAGCTGCTCACCACCGCCTGGACAGACTGGAGGCCCGGGAGCAGAGCGGGACCCTTGGATCTGCTGGCCTTCGACTGGCCAAAGGCCACTTGGACAAGGACACGGAAGCAGAACATAGAGCCCTGAACTGCCTCTGAAGTGAGCCCATCCCGGCGGCCACAACGAAGGCCGAGGCCGGGCTGGGTGTGTTTGGCAGGTGGGGCGAGACCCAGGCTTTCCCGCGTCTCGGGTGGGCCGGGCGTCCACTCCCGGTGGAGAGCAGGGCGGTGGTGCGTTGATCTGGGGAGTTTCGCTGTTCCTTTGAGTAGGCACCCCTGGTTTATACGTCAGTTAGCAGGAGGGACCGGGAGAAATCTGTGTGTCTCGGGGACCTCTTGAAGAGGCTGCGAACACTAACCCAGTGGAGTTTGGAAATCGTCCGCGGCTCTCTCCTGCCCTGGCTTTCCCCTTCTCTTCCTCCTTCTTCCCAACTTGGCCATGAACAATCAAGGGGTGACTTCTCTGCGACTTCTCAGTGCCATGACTTTTTTCCTTTGTGAAATCCGGGCCACCCCAGGGAATGAGACTTTTCAAGGGATCCGCTGGCTGGATTTCGGCCCTTCTCCATTCGGATACCGGCTGGCTGCCGGGCGCTTGTGTTCTTGGGCGAGCAGCAGAGCGCGGATCCCGAGTTCCACCCGGGCATAGGCGGCTGAGTGGGGCGGAAAGGCGCCTTCTCAGCAGGGGAGACCAGCGGGGAGTGAGTCTCCCAGCCCTGCAGGCCCGGGTGGGTGGGTTTAGGTGGAAGCCCTGGTGGGGTGGGGCGGGGCGGGGCCCCTGGCTGAGGGGAGCTGGATGCTATGGCCTGAGGCCGGCTGGTGACAATGCTGTGTTTGTCCTTCAGGAGGGTAATCCAGGCTCTCAGCCTGGAGTGGGGTCATTTATTTCCTGATGGAAGATTCCTTCTATTTATTTATTTGTTTATTTATTTTTTCTTTCATTCATTCATTCATTCATTCATTCATTCATTCATTTTGCCACGGTGAACCCTGAGTCGTGATTGCTCAGGCTTCCTTAGAGCGTCTTGGGGCGCCGGGCAGGGCTGAGCAGCTGCGTTCTGTGTGGAGCAGGCGGGCATGGTCTGAAAACCAGCTGGTCTGTATCAGTTCAAACACTGTAGGGTGGTTCTTGGGGAAGCCAGAGTTCCCCAGCCTGTGCCTGTTTGCCGTGCTCCTCGAGCTGCCTCCTGTCAGCCGAGCCTTAAAGTCCCACACTCTGGGGCCACTTACTCATCCTCAGAGGACCGGTGGCGTTGCACAGGGAGCTGATGGACACTGGTGGGCACTGAAGCATCCTTTGGTCCAGCCATCGTGGGAGCAGGTGTTACTGTCCCTGCCCCGCAAAAGCTGCAGCCTCCTGCTTATGAATCATCACGGGGCCGGTTCCCCCACCTGGTTAGTGTTTGTTCCCAGGGACGGAATGCCCCTTTCCTTCAGTACAAGTGTCAAAGGCATCCAGTCCCTGAGTGGTGACCCTCTGAGAACAAAGCCCCTCCCCATGCAGTCCATCTCCAGCTGCCACTCACCCGGGGAAGTTTCTATTTCTTCTCTGTATACAAAGCTCAGGGGAAAATAACGCAAAACTGCGTCAAGTTGACCAGACTGGAGCTGGAAATCACCCAACGAATAAACTCAGCAGTGATGAATTGGTTGAGATCGTCATTCATTCATTCATTCATTCATGTTCATTTGTATATATTCATTTCTATTCATCTGTTCGTTACAGAAATGTTTACCCAAATGCTTTCCGGGTGGAGGAGGAATTCAAATAAGTATAATATTCATTGCCTGTTCCCAAGGAGTTTGCAGGCTACCCAGGGAGTTTCTGTACATAAAAAATTCATTAGCAGTATCTTGCAAATTTAGAGTGTCTCATGTGGAATTTTATTAGACACATGAATTATAATTTTTTAAAAGACAATTTTTTCGGTGCTATTTCTTGAACAATCTTGTGAGGCTGTCTTAAACTAAACTTGCCTCTGTCTGAGGTTCAGTGATTTTCAGTAATGTGTGGTGTTCCATTATATATAAATATATCTCAATTTCTATTTCCATTCTATTCAGGATGGATTTTGGGGTTGTTTCCAGTTTGGCGCTATTAGGATATAAGCCAGCCTGCCCTCTGCTGTTGCAGCTGTGATGTTGGGGTCTGCTCCCCTCACGGCTGCCTGGTGGCCATTGGGACATGTCTGAGTGTGGGTGTTTCATGTTCTTTTTTGCCAGTAGCAGTGTCAGGTTCTTAGATCAATGACTTGGGTCCTCCTTTGAGTCCAAGTTAGTTTGCTCTCACATCTTGGATGGTTGTTATTTCTGTGTTTCAGGAATGCCTACCTTTCTCATGCTAGATCTTCATTCCTTGTTTTCCATAAAACATGCCTCTTTTCACATAGGTTTTCTCTTTTTTTTTACACTTCTATATCATCTGGCTACCACATCATTTAGTAGTTTGCATAATTAAAAAAATTTAGGATAACTTTTATTGTTTTATTTTTGAGAGGAATGGGTTTCAGGAATGTTTTGTAAATATCTTTTTTTTAAAATTAAAGTATAGTTGATTTACAATGTTGTGTTAGTTTCTGGTGTACAGCATAGTGATTCAGTGATACAAATATATATTCTTTTTCACATTCTTTTCTATTATAGGTTATTGCAAGATATTGAATGTACTTTTCTGTGTTATACAGTAGGACCTTGTTGTTTATCTATTTTATATATATAGTCATCATCTGTGAATCTCATACTCTTAATTTGTCCCTCCCCTCTCTTCCAACCCTGGTAACCAGACTCAACAGACAAAACAAAAATTTTTTTATTATTGCCTTTAGAGCATATTTTCACTATGGATCAAAGTTTCAGTTTCTTTGTAGCTTGATTTTATTTCAATAGCTCCCCCTCAACTATTCGGTCAGAGGATGATACAGAAGAGTGTTAGTGTTCAGCTCAGTTGTTAATGAACGTGAACACTCATGCAGCCACCACCCAGGTTAGGGACAAGTCAGCACCAGCACCCTGAAGTCCCTGAGGTCCTTCCCGATGCCTCTGCCTCCAAGACAACCACGGCCTTGACTTAGCCACCATTGTTTAGTTGTTTTTGTGTTGTCCTTTCATCTCAGTGGGACCATAGTATATTTATTCTTTGGTGTCCACCCTCTTTTCTTCAACATTACACGGGAAAGACTCGACCGTGTTCTTGAGGGTAGTTGAAGTTCATTCATTTTCATCAATATACAGTGTTTCTTCGTGTATAAAGACCTTAATTTATTTATCCGTTCTGTTCTCAGTGGGTATTCAAGTTCGCAGCTCTTAGGACACAGCCCTGTGTGTTGCTGTTGTGGTCTTAGGATATGTTCTCCTCATGGCAACCCCTTCCTCTCTTTCCTGGGGCCACATTTGAAGAATAGCTTCCAACTTTTTGTGTTATTGAGAACAACTTGTACACCGATGAAGAAAATCTCTTCTGTTTCGTGGCGCAGATTTAGAGATCTTTCTATTCCAGAAATCTTTTTCTCCAGGTCTTCCAGCT